GGGGAAAATGAGGACAAAGTCACCTGTGGAGATCCCAAAAGAAGAGATGAGGATTAAAGTGTGTGATGGGCCAGGTGCGGCGGCTCATTCCTGTAACCCCAGCACTTTGGGATGCCAAGGCGGGTGGATCACTTGAGGTCAGGAATTTGAGACCAGCCTGGCCAGCGTGGTGAAACCTTGCCTCTACTGAAAATACAAAAATTAGCTGGACATGGTGGCTCACGCCTGTAACCCCAACTACTCAGGAGGCTGAGGCAGGAGAATTGCTTGAACCTGGGAAGTAGAGCTTGCAGTGAGCTGAGATCGTGTCACTGCACTCCAGCCTGCCTGATAGAGCGAGACTCATCTCAAAAGAAAAAAAAAGACTGTGTGATGGTTAATTTTATGTGTCAGCTTGGCTAGGCCACAGTCCCCAGATATTTGGTCAAACATGTCTGGATATCAATGGGAAAGTATTTTTCAATTGAGATTAGCATTTAAATCTGTAGACTTTGAAGTCCTACATAATGTCAGTGGGCCTCACCCAATCAGTTGAAGGCATTTAAGAGAAAAAAGATCTACAAAGAAAAGGGAATTCTGCTTCAAGACTGTCCTCCTCAGACTCAAGCTGCATCATCAGCTCTTCCCAGGGTCTCTGGCCTGCCAGCTGCCCTGCAGATTGTGGACTTACCTCACCTTCAAGTTGCGTGAGAAAGTTTTATAAATCAATCTACTAATGTCTCTCTGCACATACATACACATGGGCCCTATCGGTTCTGCTTCTCTGGAGATCTCTTAATACAGATGGTTTTCCAAATAGTGAGACAAAACAGGAAATGACCTCCAGACACTAAGTCCAATCCCCTTATTTAGAGACAAGAAAACCGAGGCTCAGAGAATTGGTGAGGACCCAAGGTCTGCGTCCTACCCCCCCCATACTACCTGTCAGGGCTGCTCTTTGCCCCATTATTTCCTATGGCTGCCGCACAGAAGTGACATCTGCATTCAGGTTATGCTGTGCATGTTGGGGTAAGATTGTACACTTTTTTTTTTTTGAGATGGAGTCTCGCTCTGTCACCCAAGCTGGAGTGCAGTGGTATGATCTCAGCTCACTGCAACCTCCACCTCCCGGGTTCAAGCAATTCTCGTGCCTTGGCCTCCAGAGTAGCTGGGATTACAGGTGTACACCACCATGCCCAGCTAATTTTTTTGTTGTTGTTGTATTT